GAGGGTAGGTTCTGTTGGTTTTCCTGGGCAGAGGATTGGGGGGGTGGGGGGTGATTGGTACACAGACACCCCGAACAATATCTCCACAAGAGCCGTTTTACTCGGTATTTACAGTACTTTCGTGATGGCAGACCCTCTTCTATGATGATGGTTGATGATGGTGATCATGATGATGATGATGCATGATGAAGGATGATGATGGATGATGTTGACCGATGATGGTGGTGGATTGAGGCACCAGGTCGTTGGTAGGAGGGGGGGGTGGCTAGTAGTAGTAGTAGTAGTAGTAGTAGTAGCAGCAGCAGCAGCAGTAGCAGCAAAAGAAGCAGCAGTGCGATATCGGCTCTTGCCACGTGGACTTCGAAGGGTGGGCTCGCTGGTGGGCTTGGCGTAGTTGTCAGACTTTTGGTACGGGCCGGGCCTCTGATTCTCTGGTAAGCAGTCCAGGCATACCATGCTCAGTTTTGCAATGCGATGTGAATCCTGGACGAAAACAACTTGCAGATCATTTGATCTTGCGACGCTTACACCTGTGATTCAGGCTGTCGTGCGCAGCGCTGTCGGAACGCCTCTGGAGGCCTCTGCGATGCAGAAAGCCTTGAAAGCCCTCGTGTTCACCAGTTCAGGCTTGGGTCTTGTCGTTTGGGCTCCGGTCTTCAAGACTCAGGCCTTCAGCCTTCCTACCGAAAACAACACATTTTCAAACGGACTCCTTGACAATTTGCTGAGCCGGACATTTCTTTGCTTGGCAACTTTCCGTTCAGAGCAGCCGGAGCCCAGGCAGTGGTGGGCGAACAGAATTCTTTCTCGCTGACAGTTCCACCATGAAGCCAAAACACGTCGCAGCAACTAGGGTCTAGAACCCTGTTAGCGAGACATTACATACCATGCCATGCTATACTATACTCTAGAGTTGTTTAGACATTTTGTTGGCATGTATCATGTATTTATTCCGGGCGGACACGCGCGAGACCCGCATAACATGTTTTTATGCACCCTAAAACATGCTGGTATTTAAACGAAGAAACGCACAAACAAATACAAGAAGATCGGTTGATGGATCGACAGACAATTGGATAGATGGATAGATAGACGGTCGCACAGATAGATGGTAGATGGGTAGACAGACGGAGAGACGCACATAAATACATTCATACATATAGTTGGATAGTTATTCATTTGTAAATATAGATGACTAGACAGATAGGTAGGTCGGTCAGTAGGAAAGTAGGTAGCTAGCTAGGTAGGTGGCAGATGGACAGATAGTGTTGTATGTTCCAACCGAGGTAGTCTCTGTGACTTTTCGCCATGTCAGCGAATGCGCAGTGGTCGAGCTGACCCTGTGCGAAGACCTTTCTGCGACGACTGTGGTTGCTGCTTGGTGGGCTGAAGACCACATAGCCAAGAGCTGAAGAGTTGTCAGTTATCAGGCTCGGAAGCATAGCATGGACATCAAGGTCAATGTTTATTTGGGATCACTGCCGGTCAACTCTCGCTTCGGTTTGGAAGAGCTACAGCTCGAGGCTGTGAGTTTGCAACGTTGTGCTGGTGTCCAATGCCAGAGTCCTTTCGGATTGCGAGTGACTTTCACAACGTGGCACTGTTGCAAAGCACTAGCAGTCCCCCGTCTCGCGAGTCAGTTTCGGTTACAGCAACACCATGAACATGTGAGACACTGCATGGTAATGTATGTATATATGTATACATGTATACGTAGGTGTGTATGTATGTATGTATGTATGTATGTATGTATGTATGTGTATATATATATACATGTATGTGTATATATATACATATATGTGTACATGTAGAGGTATTTGCATTTACATTTGTAAGCCGTTATGTATGTGCATATATCTATCTGTTCATATTTGATGAAATTTGTACATGCGAACACACATACACATACATGCTAGTGGTCTGCTGCCCGCTCGCACAGGCAGCGGCTTTGTTGACTTTGCTTGTTTGTACATACCAGTTTGCAGCTCGCTTGAGTCCTCGTTTCGATTCCAGCATCGGGATCCGAGGCAAGCCACCGCGTGATGATTGTGGGACAGCCTGGTTCTTATCAGCAGGCCCTGGGATAATCGGTCTAGACTCTCTAGGCATGCCCAAAATATAGCCTTCAAGTATACGCCCTCAACCTTAAGTGCTATAAGCCCTAAGCCGATAGTACCTAAGTACATGCAGTTATGAGGCATTCAGCGTAGCATGTGTGCCTGGTGCACCGCGCCGAAAGTGCACTCGCCCCGACGGATAACTCCCAAACTAGCACTATATAGTAATATACTGTAATATCAACTGTTATATAGTATATGATATACATTGGATAAAACATAATACATAGACGTAGTGTTCTCCGAAGGTGGTTACCGCCTCCGAGCTCCGCGTCGGCGACCGCATCGCCCTTGCTGGGGCCGAGGCGGAGGTTCGCGGCGTCTGCCTGCGGTCGGTCGGCGCCGTGGTGGCAGAGCTCATATCGAGGCATTGCAGGATTCTGAACAGGACACACTGACCGGCTGGATAGTGGAAGCTCTGATCTTGTTCACTGGGAAAGCTTGCCCTAACAAATGCAACCCATATGCCGCGAGTTTGCACCTTCGAGCTGCCAAGCCTTACAGCCGCAACCGACAGATGTGTCGAGCTAAGGTGAGGTCACTGTCGTCGAGGCGTGCAAAACCCGGGATTGTCAGGGATCTCACTGCGTCGCTTCTGAGTGCGTCGAGCCTTGGATGATTGTGCCCTAGATTGGACAGGTCGCACATAACAGTGGAAAGTCTCTCGGCTACTCGCATCCATATTGTAGTTGCCGCTTGTGGTATAAATCTCTAAGTCTATGCCTCGCAGGTGGAGTTCAGCTCGGACGAGCCAGTCGGGACGCGCCTGCCTCGGCTGGCATTGAGGGTGTTAGGGCCTAGGGCATGACATGTTGCTCTCGTTTGTCGCAGGCTGAGTGTATCCTGTTTGCGCTACAAGCTCAAGCCCAACCTGTCCCCGGTGTCTGCAGGCTTTTGGACGTTGGCGATCAGCAGCTCAACTTCCACATCGTATGAAGGCGTGGCAGGCTGTGCCGGTACCGCCCAGGTATGATGAGCTCAGATTTCGCAGCTTACTAAGAGGAAGAGTTACTTGCATAAGGCTCGGCAATGTTGTGCAAATCATGGACATGAAGCCTAACAGCCTAAGTTTGAGTGCCTAGCCAGACGACCTGCACGCACCGTGGCCCCATCAAAGACTTGTTATCGCAGATTGTTTTTATCTTGTGTTGTCCTCCCCTATCTCACCTTATCTTACATCCTCATGTTGAAGTATGTAATATCGAGCTGTACATACTGTGCAATGTAGTAATGTAGTATAGTATAGTATACTGTATCATTCTATGCTGTAATGTCGGCTGCTTGCAAAGATGCGCGAGCTCTGGAGAGCCGTGCTCGTGCATGCCCGCTCTGAGGGATGCAGCTCGTAAAGAAAGCAGGTGACAAAAGATAATGATGTATCATGTAAAGGGTGTAACGTAGGTGCCGGATCTTGAATAATTGGTGATAGTTTTCTGTAGGGTTCCCTAGGCCCTAGTCCCAAGGAGACGTAGTTGTGGCAGACTTCACCCAAAAGCCCTATTCTTATTGTTCAGGCCCCTACAGTAGCTCTCTCGACTACGACTTCCAGCGATGCACTGTTTGAAGCATGCGTGCTGAGCATCTACAGCTACAAGCCACTACAAGCACTGTGGGTTGCTTTACTGCGGCTCTTCGGGTATGCACATGCTGGCACTGACAGCCTTTGTAATTGGTCTAATGCCGCTGTAGCTACAAATCGGTGTGCTGGCTTGCAGTGTCACTGCACAGCATTTTGCAGTCGAGCTGTACTCCCATGTAGTGTGTCGGTGGCTCGCTGTACAAAGACCAGGAATCTCGCGCTCGTGGGCTCTGTGGCAAACAGGCAACGAGCCCTGCACTGTACAGGCTAAACACTCCCGAAACTTCCAAACATCAGAAGTTTCCAGCAAAACGGAAACACCCGTCCCGAAGCTTTTCCGCTTGAGATACCTTAAACCCATCTAAATCCCCTAAACCCTAAGATGGTGCTCCGGATGTTTTCGATGCCAAATATATGCAGTCGCGCCTCGTTGAAGGGTAGCTTTGCTACAGCCGCTTGAGTTGAGTCGCGGCGCCATTGCTTGAAGCCCATATTCAAAGTTCTAGATATGTTCCTTAGGTAGGCAGGGTTTAGGGCTCAGTGTAGGCACCTGATTAACAACCCCCAGCGTCTTATCAGAGGCCCCAATGGCAAGGACAGATTCGTACGTTATCTGGCAGCAATCCACTTGCTCTACATCCTTACAGCATGTTCCCTTACATATCTATTTTTTCATGCATAGATTGCACGGCGGGTTTAGGGTGTCGGGCTTTGGGTATGGTTTCGATTCTTTACCCTACGACTTAATCTAGCGCGGATGTCCGCACATGTGCATCATCCCGGCAGTTGCCAGTGTTTTGTCCACGTCATTCTACATCGCAAAGCTTGTAGGTTTTGGGGCCAATATAAACGGCTTTCCGAAACGTTGGGAACATCTTGTAGGTAAGTCCACCTGAAGACTTTCAATCCCCCTATATTGAAACAGAACTGAGCCACAGATCCCTATCCCAATGCAAGCCCAAAGACCCATTCCTTAGTAGTTGCATGTGTAGCTTTGTGTGAGTGTGTTTCATATTGTCTCTATCTATCTGTCTATCTATCTATCTATCTGTCTACCTATATATATATATACATATACATATACATATATATATATATACACAACTATGAATATGTAAGTGTACATGTCTCTACCTGGCTTTCAATGTAATTCAGCAGCAAGGCTTACCTAAAGACACCAAGTTATGATCCTACACGCAAACACAAGGAACTAAACTGATAAACCAAAGAGCCCTGCACCCTTAACCAAAAACATCAAGTCCCCAACCTTAAACCCTATAGCAACCCCTTACAGAACCCTTGCGGCAACCCTATAGAGCAAGCATAGTTACCCTGAAAAGGAGACTTACTAGTCATACAGAAAACCGAGAAAGTCGCCTGATAGTAATCCGAAGCCCTAGCACAAACCCTCCAGGTACCTACTACATAGGGCCTTANNACCCTATATAGTAGGTACCCGGGGCGTTAGGGTAGCGCAACCCCTGTGAAGTCCTCTCTTTTCATGGCGCCGTGGGTCTTAGAGATGGTCCTTCTTCGTCTTCCCCGAGGTGGCTTAGAGGTTCCTTTGCGCGGGGACTTCTCCGGTTGACTGTGTTTTTTGGGGCTTTAGGGTTTAGAGCTGCGGAGATTTATGATGCTTTAGGGCTTGGGGACTTCAGGACTCTAGGGTGTGTTAGGGACCTTAGGCTTCAGGCTTTAGGGGAATCGGAAGCTTAGTCATAGTCTGTGCTGTTGTGTCGCTTATTGCAGCCTTGCTGTTCGTACCATGCTTCATGCTTGCCAAGCATGTCTACACGTATGTGGGATGTGTAATTGTGCGCGCACGCGTTTTTCTTGGCAACTAGTTGCATGAAGCGCGTGGGCGGATGGATGCTGTGTGCCCAGCATGCTTTTGTGTGTGTGTGTG